CAGAAAAATCACGAATCCGAACTAGCATAACATGCAAGGAAATGAACCCAGTTTTACGCACTTGGCCCTACCAAGTACAATAACTAGGCTCGCTTACTGAAAGTACAAATGTAATCTAATTAGTTTCAAAAGCAATTCGTACAATCTAAATATAACTCTCCGAACAGTAAATAATCAACCTAGAGTTTCGTACTGGTTCTGCCACAAGTGTAAGCTAGTAGCCACTAAAGTTGGTATCAAGTGAGATCAAGGGCATGTCTGGGAGAAATTGTTCCACATCTTAAAATTAATATTCCAACCGTTGTGCACAATCTTCTAAAAATCATGTGAGTGCAAGTCAAACTTGGTTGCCAGGTGGGCCCCCTTCAACGGTTGGAATCTTGCTTAAAAGTGGATTGTAATTTCCTTCGGCCAAGCCCTAAGAGTCGTGATATAATCGAAAAAAATTGCACTTAAACCATACGACCACCAATACATTAAGTCATGAGTACGATCCCCTTAAGGCATAGCTCAGTGGTGCGGATAACAAAAGTGATGTAGTTTCAGTTGAGTTGACAGCCGCAGTGTGAGGGCTCAATTCTTGCCTCTTACAATGTATGAAATTAGACTCTTTGTGGGCATCAGTATGACAGCTCTTGTACCCTGACCTGCTGAGACACGTCTCGAGATTTACCTCATCCACAATGCTTTAGGGACGGGGCGGGGTCCTCAAAGTTGGGGTTCAACTTTCATTTAGCCATGAGTACGAAATAGCGTGCAAACCTGCCTACCACTTTGCACCATATCCGTGAATGTCTACAAGCAAGCATGGACTCGATTTAATGTTTTACAAAAGAGGATAAATTAATGATTTTGCGAAGATTTTGACTATTTTTATTATTGAAAATTGGTTATAAAACTATAATTGAGTTTTGAAAACTAACTCGTTATTTGTAAAAAGGCCCAAGTAACAAGATTTAAAAGAATCAATCTCAAAACAAAAAGTAAAGTTGTAGAAATTAAAAGATTGAACACAAGATATATTTCGGTCTAAGCCCCTGTGGTTCGGCGACCAGATCTAACGCCTACATCCAGGGATGGAGCCATGATTTTTTGTCAGGGTGGGGCACACTTTATCGATGTTGAACGTTGAGTTTTTGTCATGGATGTAATGATAATAAAAATATAAAACAATATTACGACAATACTAAAAATGACATAGTTTATAAATTACACTTGTTTCTTTCGAGTTTTCATACTTTGATATTGTTGCACAATAACTTCATTATCGAGTTTCAAAAATATAGATTTCTCTACATAAACAATTGTGTTATCATTCATCCACTGATTACTCATTCGATTACACAATCTATCATTTACAATACTCATTGCAGAAAATACTTTCTCTACAGTAACGAGATTCATCAACTAGAATAGAAAATAATGAATCGCCAATATCTTTGATAATAACATTGATTGTCTCAACGGCACAAGCATTTACTATATCCTTTTGAACAACAGGTGATGTCAATTTGCAATTTTGAGGAATATTTTCAAATGCCACAGCATTAATATCTTCATTATGAGCAGCCAAAAATTCTAATATGACTAAGAAATTGCCTAGATTGAGAAAATCATTGGACTCATCATGTCCCCGAAATGAGTGCCCTTGTCACAATAGAAGTCGAACACAATCAATAGAGCAACCAGCTGATTTTGAGGATTTTAGGAGTGAAATGAGGCTACTGCCCATGATAATAAGCTCCATAATTATACAAATAATTCTCGTATCTTCCGTCATTCCTCTCACCATAAGCTAATGGTGTTCCAAAAAGATAATCTGCAGCACTTTCCCATGGATTCATTCTTCCTCCATGATCACAAATTGGGCATATTTCATTAATTTTCTGATCTCTTCTGCCAAGGCAAGGCCAGTAACCAAATAAACTTTCGCAAAGGTCCATAAATTCCAAACCAGAACCATACGAAGTATGAGGAATTTGTCTATCAATTTGCCCATTCTCAAATCCGTTATCATGTTTGTATGGAGGTAATTCATTGCCTCGATTCGCGCCCAACTCTTTAATTTCACTGCCCATGGTAATCTTATCTACATTTCCATCAGGCAATTGTGGATCAGTTAATTCTCCAACTTTTTTCACTGTCCACACCATCTAAGGCAATCTTATCTTCATATTCACCCTCAGGTTCTGGAACAGTTTTGATTTGCAATTTGTTTATCAATTTCTCCATAGGGTGAAGGAATTGAGCTATATGAGAAACCTTCAAGAGCTGCACCATTAGATTCAATGGAGCAGCGGGGTATTTTGGGAGTGAAATGCAGAAGATGCGGTGGGATTTGGGGAGGGAAATGGAGCAGCCAGGATTTAGGGAGTCATTTTGGGCTTCCTTCTTGGGCTGGAACTTAACATATAACTAAAAAAAAAAAAATTCGAGCCCAAAAGTTCAGTGTGGGCCTGTACCTACATTGGACCATACTGGGCTCCACCCCTGCCTACAATCCCCGTTGTGCATCCAAACAATGGATATTGCTCGGTTGCACTAAATAGCCAAAAATATGGCAACCAACAATTACAAACAATTCAAAAATACAAGACAAAGCCACAGAGACTTATCTTTACACAAGGCGTTGGATCGAACACACCCTTAAGGCACAAAATAGGCCAGATCACAAAGTTCTGCCTAACACCTCACAATCCACTCGAATCACAAAAGGTTCAACATACAAATCACTCAAAGAACCCTTACTTCACAACAATCAGAAGTAGATCTAAGAGAATATACAGTTTACACGATTCAAACACTCAAGAATGTAAACCCCAGGTAAGAATGAGGTTTTCTCTCTAAAGGAAGAGAACGGATACGAGAACCCAAAAGCCAGAAGAGTGAACTGAATGAAAACCCTAAAACGTCTTTGGAAGATATAGAAAGAACCATCTAGAACCACATCTAACGGTGAGAGGAAAGCCGAGTGTCAACCATCCAGCCAATGACTTGAATTAATGTAAGTGTCAATTCCAGAAACACGACTTCAACATAATTGTTGGAAGCACATTTAATAGGCAAGTTACAGGTTCGAAACTTAACAATTTGAATGATATGTTTCATGTGGTTCCAGTTGTTGCTTAGTTGTGATTAGAGATGACAATGAACTGAATCAAAATCAGCTCAACTCTTTCACCCTTGACTTGACTCGGCACATAAGGCATGCCTAGACCGGTATGCTTTTGGACATTGCAATTTTTTTAACTCGACTTGCCCAAGTGACTCGCTTATTAGTGAGGATAGCCGAGCTAACTCCAATCCACTCCACCGGTAAAAAAGTAGGTAGAAAGAGGACAAATAAAATAATAAATTAAAAATTGAATTGACGAGTGCTTGCAAAAGCAGCCACTAGTTGACTTGCAAGCCAGCTCGAGTGGCTCACAAGTCGGCCGCCCTAGTTAGCGAATAGCTCCCATGGCTGGCATGAGAACTTGTGGACTCAGCTAGTGTCCATATTCACCTACCGGGCGAGGCGAACTGTCCTAGGATGCGAGCAACTCACGCTCATTGCCATCTCTAGTTGTAATGTACATTACAATTAATTCACGTAGGGTTTAAATGTAAATTTGATAAATGCCCTCAAAATCCACCACTCAACACAAAATTTGCAGTGTCGAGTAAAAGAAAGCTACATGCAATTAAAACCAGTGTTCAAAAACGCGCAGAAATGCGCCGCCTAAGCGCAACGCGCGTAAAAAACGTTTCAAATTGGGCAATGCGCGTAAAAATGCAGTCAACGATTTTTGTTGATCGCCTAGGCGTCTCAATGCGGAACAATGCGCGCCTATGCGCGCATCAAAACAGCCTATGCGTGCCTAGGCATGCGTTGAGACGCCCCAAAATTTTTTTTTTTTTTTATACGATATAAAAAATTATTTTTTTAACGAAACGCATTATGACGCATATTCTCTGCATTGACACGCTTAAACTTGTGATTCTTGATTCTCGACATCGACACATCGCAACGCATTACGCATTTTAGAACACTGATTAAAACTGGTATACAATACATGAAACCCGAATACCAACAAAGTAGTACTATGTTATAGTGAAAAAAATTCGAAGTTGGAGTGTGTCACATGTAAAATTCAGTAACGAAAAATCTTGCATCAAGATAAGTACCACTATAGAATTGAGCAAGAACAAAAGTAAAGATTGAAATTTTCAATATCAGATGCCCAACATAGATTTACAAATATGGGGGAGAGAATTTCTCATCCATATTCACTAAAATCACGCCTACTATACACAGAATCTAATTCTACTCAAATCAGTTAAGTTCACAATAATCCATTCAAGTCTTGCTCTACTTGTAATCGGATCAAACGTGTTAACGATATGGACCAGATTCTTCATAATACTGAGATTTTTTCAAAATTTTCTCATCTTATTACCAAAGCATATCCTCAATCACAACACCAGAAGCCAATCCAAAAAAAAAAAAGACGACTAATCAATTTCCAAGCTTAAGATAGCCTCCCTCACTTGTCGGCACTGCATAAAGGAAGCTTGCTTCCACTTTGCATTTTCTTCACATCCGGGCAAGGACAAATGAAAATCATCCGTGCCATGCTACAGAATTCCCTACAAGAAAATAGCATTATATCAAATATGTGTATGTTTGATATGCGGACTTCAGTTACTGTTGTTTGTTCTAAATACTATCTGGTGGTATCTAATCCACCTTAGTAAACATGCACAAGGTTCCTTGACAAGTCCAGTTTGAATCGTATCATTTTGACATGGTTTAGATAGACAGAATACTTACGGCCATGGGTCATCTCCCATGAGCATCACATCACCTTCGTCATCCGTAAAAATAATTTCCCATTTTTTTCGTGGCCACAGCTCCCCCTTGATCCCAAACATCTCTTCCAGTTCACTTATAAGCTCGCCATATCCCTTAAATGCAGTCAAATCCACCGCAAAACCTAATGTGACCCCTTGCATATGAACCTTCTCAAATGAATACGATACCAAACACATAAACTATGGATCATGTACTTTATCGAGGCAATTAGTGCTCAATCTCTAAGACATTATTGTTAAGAAAGGTTGTTTAGAGCATGTTTGGCTAAACTTAAGAACATTTACTTACAAGTAAAAAAGTAAAATTTTAAAATATATTTTTTTTTATTATTCAATGTTGGAAATGAACAAGTAACTTATTTTTGATGGTAAATGAAGAATTACTTTCACAGTAAGTGTTTGTTTGGTAGTGCTTATAAGCATTGGTCCTATGGAATGTGTAGATAATAAGTGAGTAGTAACTGTGGGTCCTAATAAATGTTCAGTTAAAAAGTATATTTGATTTGATTAATTTATAATTTAAACTATAAAAAGTATGTTTTACTTCTTTTAAGCACAGCCAAACATGCGCATCAATCTTGTGATCAACACGTACCTTGGTGCAACTTCTGGAGACGTGATTTTCTCTTTTATGAACCTCATTCGTTAGAACTTCCAACTTCTCTTGCTTTGACTCTTTGGAATCCTTTGAAAGAAAAGATTTCTGTTCTGAATCACCTGAAGACAGTTTACTTGAAACATATCCCTCACAAGCATCACTTGGTATATCGACTAGTTTTATAGTCGAATTCTCATCAAGGACGCCTATTGAAGGACTGGTTAGATCGACCCCAAACAATCGGCATGTTGCAACATTATGTGATTCCTTCCTGTCATTCAAGTAAGGCATGGGGCCATTACTTTGTTTTCCTGAATGTGTAGCTAAATGGTTGGAAAAAAGGGACCAAGCAGAGGTGCTTTTACTTTTTTCTGCTTCTTCGGCAATCACATTCACAGAAGTGTTTAAATTAAGGTTGCCACAGTTTTTTATATGTACACTCCTCTGTTTTTCAAGAGCGTGATTTACTTCGTGTGAATCATGGGACGGATTCCAGGCAGCTGGTGCTGTTGAAGTTGGAGTTTCTACACATAGTTCAATTACAAATAAAAGGTCACAACGTAGACAAACATAAAAGGAAGCAGGGAAAATGAGTTGAGGGCATGTTAGATGCACGTGACTATACAATAGACAAGATTTAAAGCTTCTTTTTCTTCCTTTATACTACTATGCACAACAATCTGCCTGACTAAACTAGTAATAAAAGGATAATCTAACCTGGAACTGGGTTTTCCACATGTGATCGACACCTTTTATGCTTCGTTGCCACCGATTGAGCCAGGCTCGTGGGCACTGATACAACAACTGGTTCTATCTCCCATGGAGAAACCCTTTCAGGTCTTCGAATGGATGCAGGTTCATCCCATTGAACCTGGGAATATAAGAAAACCCGATTTAAATTTCAGTTATATGAAATAAATTGAAAGTGAAAAGATCAGCAAAATAAAACTAACCTTTAATGATCGCCACATAGAATCTTTCCAATGAGGAGAGAAATTTTCAACCCCAATGATTGTTCCTGAAAACCTGAGTGCCATAGGAGGAGGAGAAAATGTTTAGAAACTCTCAGTTAATACTTTATTATCAGCTTTTGTGTATGTTTAGCAACCTTCTTTCAGGAGAATCCTCCCCCTCAAATCGCATCTTGAATCTTGAGCCAACTTCAAAACCTTGATTTTCAGCATCTAGATATTTGTTCAGGTCTATGATGAATTGACTTGTTCTAAGAAGTTTTTCCATGGAAGACACGTATAAGAACATGCATATCGAAAAAAGACTTCTTGTCAAGTATTTATAGTAAAAAGAGCACATTTATAAGACCTTGGCTTGTAATAAACAACAAAAATGGTATTGGTGGCAATGGCATGAGATGCAGTTGCGAGAACTCCTAGGTGCATGCTTTGACTTGAAATCAATGACGATGGCATGGAGCTCTGATAATGAGTACGGCGTCTAACCCCAACGCGTAATTCTCCGTTCTCTCCTCTAGAATCAAAGTTTACAAAGTGAAAAATCAGAAAAAGGGAAAATAAGATTTTTTTTCAAAAACATTATTGGTCATAACTTATCAGTTATCCCAAGAGAGTATCAACAAGAAACAAATACCTCAGAAATACAAAAGAATCCCCAGCAGTTAATCTCTTAGAATTAACAAATGTACTCCATCCTGTTGTCAGCAAATGCCTTCGGGGTTGACCTGTTCAATAATTGTCAGTTCTGTATGGATTTCTAGCCAAAGGAGCATTGGAAAGATGGGAATGAAATATTACCTCTAAATATATGCTTAAAGTGCCATTCAGTCCCATGCAGATCCTTGGCTACCAATTCCTGGGTTGGTGTCTGCTGGCTCATATCCTGATCAAAGATCAATTTTAGTCCAAACAGACCACAATCATTTCATACATAAAATATAACTACCGATGGGCGGGAAGGCACATAGGCTGCAATTGAAAATGTAAGTGGCCCAGAAAAGTGAAAACGAGGAATTATTACCAAGGGAGGAAGGCATTCGTTTGCATGTTTACGAAGAACAGAAAATCCACCATGGGTGCTTGTATCGGACGCTGTCAAAACCTTGCAGAATGAGTGAACTGTAGGCCTAGGAGGCTCAGGATTACACCGATCGGGACTTCTTGACTCAGTTTTCTACAATTGTTTTATTCAAAATCTAAACTAACTATGGGGAAAAAAAATAGAAAATAGCAAGCAAAAGCAGTAATTTTATAAAACAGAAAGGATAAAGACTTAGATTACTTACATCTGCTTCCGGCATCAAAGTAATTTGTGCATAGACTTCATCAGTGTCTTTTTCAGCCTACAGAGCAGAATAATTCATCAACGACAAAATAATCTCTAATTTATTTCACTGTTGAACAATTTTAGTTGCTAATTTTGGAAATATTAATGATAATATATGCTTCTCCATGGGAGAATAATTATCCAAGCAAGATGACATACAGATAGCTGCAAAAAAATAAAAGAAGAGAGAGAGAGAGATAAAAGCCATATACCCAAATTCCCAGAACCTTATCAGAGCAATGTTACGAATTAAGACTAATCTCAATTACAGGAGCTAGTAACAAGCAAAAAACAATATATCAAAAACCCACATACACAGATTCATCGTGAGATCTTCGTTCTCTAACTATATTGAACAAGATATGTACAAACGATATCATGCATCTCGTCCTAAAAAGACCGGCCTGGCTCTAAAATCCGTTATATGGTAGGAATGCTAGAGTAACCTAATAGATGTACGCACTAGCCAACATATATGATCAAACTCCACAGAGTTTAACAAGCAATTAAACGCAAACATATTTCACAAAGCAAAATAAAACAAAGGAAAAAAGGTAAAGAAGAACCATACCAGTAGCTGGATGTTATAAACACTACAAAGGATCTTTGAGGGCAGATTAAACATTGTTATCTTCTGATTCAATTCCTCATTTGTTGACGCCTCCAACTAACCAAACCCAGAAAAAGAAAAATGAAATTACTCAAGAAACCCTCCAAAAAAAAAAAAGCTTAAATTTGCAAACAAAAATCTGAACCTTAAGCAACCACAATACTTTCGATACATTTAAAGATAATTACTTGTTCCATGCGACCTTGTGGGAAATAGTAAACTCTCTCTTTAATTTTTGGAACATCCACCAATGGACCAGCACAAGCCTTCCATAGCTCTGTATACAGGACATCCTCGGAACCACAACCTGATCATTCACAAGAAAATCACAGGGTAAATGAAATTATTTCCTAAACAAAGATACATTAAGAGACTCGTCTTTTAGATTTCACCTTCTGCATATGAACCCATATGCTGCTGCTGTGAAAATGACCTTCCAGTTGCCATTGTTAAAGCAACCCTTCTTTCTTTTCAGATAAAAACCCACAAGGAAATTGAAATGCTTCAATTCACTTCGTTACACACTTTAAAAGTCCAATAAACGCACCTCTCTCTCTACAGAATACGAAAAATCAGTGAGGGAACCGGGAAGTGATAGAATGGTGCTGCAAAATCCCAACTTCACATAAGAATCATCTTTTAATATACGCCTTGATTAGTGCTCTCCCCGCTCTCTTTCTTTTTCTCTCTCTGTATTGTATGCCTTGCTTTTTCAGCACGTGGTTGGGTTGTCTCCGTTTCCTGTGCAGAATGTGTGCGTAGGTTAGCAGCCAACTAAACTATGGTAACTGTACAACTCGAAATGGTTTGGAATTTCCGAGAGAAGTTGAACTTGAGAAATTATTGTGCTTAAAAGTTACTTCTTTAGAGTATGTTTGGTAGAGATTAAAATCGAATTAAAATTGAAAAACTAGCCGTTATTGTTGACTTTTATTAGACGGGTGAGACCCAATAACGGCTATATTTTCAATTTTAATTGGATTTTTAGTATTACCAAACAAGCTCTTAATAATAAAAGAACTTATTTGACTTGACTTTCGTAAGCATTTTATTTAACGAAAAGTCCACATGTATATAATAAATGTACATAATGGTATCCATAATGTGATGTGGACAAAATTCTATTATTGATGTGAAAGTGTGAGATTTGAATTAATGGTTGGATTCAGTTCCACGTGTAATTATGTAAACCATTATGTGTAGATTTATATACATGTAACACTTCTCTTTATTTAATTAGGACTTAAAAAAGATACAAAAACAGAAGATATCTTACAAAATACGTGAAAAAATCAATGTCTTTGTCTAGCCGACTTTGATCGAAACAACAATGATTATATAATACAATCGGCAAAATGAAAGAAAAGGAAGACTTCGACGCGGGATTGCACATAAAAGTTGTTGAGATCCTCGTTCAAGTTTTAAATCATCGCATCTCCTTTAAGAGTTACGAAAAGAAAGCTAATGAACGTGAATGTCGATTAACGTGAAATACGATGATAATAAATGTGAAACTATTTGTGTTTTAATCATGAATCATAAAAACAAAGTATGAGGAAATTTCACTGTATCATTGAGAAAAACTAAATTAGACAAGAGGACAAAAAGAAACTTGTGATAACGTGTAACACGTAATATTTTTCTCTAATAGCTTGCATTTGCATAGTTTATAATTTTTATGTACATAATAAAAGACGAATACAATGAATCTAATGGAGTGAGAATTATGTGCATTGTTCGCCGTCTATAATTCTTGTCGGCTTCTAACTGGTTGTCTGTTTCTTGGCCGGCACGCACACATATTTTCTCAAATCTTGTATTTGACCAGATTATTATACCAAAATTACCAAAATAACCTACACTTTTATGGAAGGGTAGCTTCACACTTGTGAACTTTGTTATTATTAGGGTAAATTGCAAATTTTGTCCCCAACCTTTTGTTGTCCGGTTTTCAGCTCCAACTTTTCTAAAATTAGTACAAATCATGTGTATGGACGGTTCCCATCCAAATGGCCATTTAAATGAGGTCAATTGACTTTAAGAAAGAGTAAAATAGTCTAAACACTTAAATCAACTTAAAAATAAACAAATAATCCTCACCCAACAAAAGACATTGTCCTAATGCCGCCTCATTCTCCATTCATGTCATTTAAAATCACACTTCCAATAGAATTCAAGAAATCCCCCAATTATGTAGGTGGGGGTTGGTGGTGACCGCAGTAGGTGGCAATGGCATCGAGGAAGGCGGAGGAGAAAATCTTTTTCATTTTTATCTTTTAATATCTGGTAAATAAATTAAAATCATTTTTTTTATTGAATTATCAGTTTTAAATATTCTATTTTAAGACAATTTTACCCTTGACTCACAATTCATAAACCTCTTTTGATAGCTCATATGGATGGAAACCAACTGTATAAACGAAATGTGCTAACTTTTGAAATGTAGGAGACAAAAAAAGTTAGGGATCGCTACTTTTGACAAAGGTTAAGACTAAATATGCAATTTACCGTATTATTTTGATATGTCGTTTTTACTTATTGGTGTTGTGGACAATACAAAGCATCGATGGTCTTACTTTGCCACTCACGAGTAATTTTAATATAATATAGCCTAAAAAGTAGGACTATGCATGGTCAGTGTTTGAACAATCAATGTGAAAATCATTTCGGAAAAGGAAAATGATCAATAGTCAAGCCTTTATTTGGCGATTTATAAATGGAAATGGTAAAATGTTTATAACACAGAGAAGTTTTATTGTAAAAATTATCCTCTTAATCTTGTGATTAAAGTTCTAATTTATGTATCAAAGCAATTTTACCTTTAATAAAGGAGTAAAAAGAGTACGAACGAGCCAATTGTGTTAGGCAGAAAGCTAGATCGTAGTTTAGGGCACATTCAATGTGCCATAATACTATTCGGTCTTGCTCGGTACTATGTATCCATTATCTTCAATCAAGTAGTTTCCATTAAAGATAAATTATTTGATTTTAAGCATTAAAATTTATATTAAAGATTGAAAGTCCACTAATAAAACATAGCAAGTTGGTCATCTACTATGCATAATCGATCCTTAATTGTAAACGCTCTCTTAATTAATATTAAATTGTCATGTAATTATTGAATATCTAACTCTATAAAGTAAGATTTTGCATCACAACTTGGGTAATACCCTCAAATTTTAAACGAAGAATATTTTCATGAGGGTTATGTGATAACTTAACGAAGATTTAAAATGTTTCAATCATTGAAGATGAATTATAAATGATAATAAAACTTCGAGGGCCAACTACACAATTTTCCTAAATTTTGGGTGCACTTGACTTGATGCACGAGTGGGTTGACATCCCTCTTTATGTTCCGCCTAGGATTTTACGAATCTGACGTGGGGATGCCCCAACTAAGATAAACAAATGATTTTTTTAAAGATTATTGCACCAACGGTCCCAAACCTTTAAATTTTTAGCGAAACATTACCTTAAACTTCAGTTTGTGCCAATGAAGATCCCAAACCTTTGAAAAATTAGCAATTGAAGTCCAAATTGATAAAAATCGTCAATTTGACTGTAAGATGACCAAGAAAATTGGAATTTGACCAATTTTACCTTATTGAAAGGGTAAAATGGTAACTTTAGAGTTAACATTTTTTTTTCAAATATCATTAACGATAAAAACAATTAAAATAAAAAATCTGCCCAACCCTCGATCCCTACCCTTATCTTCATCTACCTCCTCAACCCCAAACCCAACATCCAAACAAACACAATCCAAAGCAGTCGATCGCCACCATCAAACCCGAACCTACCGCCGCCGCCAAACCCATGATCGACTGGTGGACGACTACCCCGTTTATCTCAAATTAATCAATTCAATTCTACAATAAATTATTGGTGGAGAATCCCACCGCCACTACTTACACCGCGATAGCAACATAGAACATTCGAACGAGTCCTAACCAATGTGACGTACATTCCCTGTTTGAAACTCTGAAAGCAAATCACGCTATTGCTATAATCGAGATGCACTTTTCCCTTCTTGAAACCAAATGGCATTGTCCATATGTTTAATGCAGAGATTCCCCTTTGCAAATCCACGGCATATCAAAAAATTGTTTGAAAATGAATTTTATGAACGAGAAAACATAAATCATGTACACCATGGGAGAACATAAATAGGTAACGATCATTCATATGGATCTTTTTGGAATTCCTGTAACCTTTGGTTTCGATTTACTGGAGGCGATGGTCTAGTTTAGAAGGAATAAAAGTGGAAGGTAATTGTTCTATTTAGTGGATGTGAGTTTGGTTTTTGGGTGGCTGTGGATTTGGTGGTGGCGATTGGCGTTCAGCGGCTTTGGATTATGGTTTGAAGGGTTAAATCCACCAATGGCTACCCAACTTTATACTTGTGTTATCATGACCACCCAATTTATTTTGTTTTACTATGGCCACTCAATTTGATTTTGTTTCACCATGACCACCCAACTTTATACTTAGTATCGTCATAAACACCAAATTTGATTTTATTTCACTATGGCCATCAAATTTCATATAACGTTTCACCATGGTCATCCAATTTTTTTCCCACTATTTTTACTAATTTTAAAATGAGTTAAACGAGAATTATATATATATAATAAAATAAAAGTTTTTTTAAATTTTAAAATGTTTATTTCAAAATAAGTTTTTATTTTTTTTTAAATAAAAACTTTAAGAAATTTTTTTAGATAAATTTTTATTTTATTTTTCTAAGTAATTTTTTTAAAAAGTGTTTTTATTTTATTTTATTTTTCTAAGTAACTTTTTAAAATAAATTTTTATTTTATTTTATATTTTTAAGTGACATTTTTTTAAAAAATAATTTTTTATTTTATTTTGTTTTTTAAAATAACTTTTTATTTTAATTATTTTAAATTTTATTTTATATATATGATTCAAAGTTACCGTTTTACCTATTTTAAAATTAATGAAAATTATGAAAAAAAAAAATTAGATAGTCATGGTGAAACTTTATATGAAATTTGATGGTCATGATGAAACTTGATATGAAATTTGATGGTCATGGTGAAACTTTTTATGAAATTGGGTGACCATGTTGACATAAAATCAAATTTGGTGGCCATAATTACACTAAATATAAAGCTTGGTGGCCTAGTGAAACAAAATCAAATACGGTTTCCATTCATTTGGATTTTAGCTGCTAATTTTTCAAAGACTTGGGATATCCGCTGGCACAAATTGAAGGTTAAGGTAAAGTCCTCTAAAAATCCATAAGTTTGGGACCACTGCTGCAATTAAAATTAATTTACTTGATTCTCAGTACTATTATTCCTTTCTGTATTTTAATGATATCATGCCCATATAACAAAAGCATTTTGGGTTGTATCCATGTGATGACAATTATGGGGGCTAAAAACGAATTATTAAACGGTAATTGGAATCTATTCATA